TGTGGATCCAGGGGGAGGGAGATTATTCCTTCAGAACTCTGATGCCTTTGGAAACGGAGGTCAGGTTTGAAAAGGAGAAAACAGCCCTGAGGGGTTGTCTGTGCTGAACTCGAGGAAAAGCTGTGGTTTGGTTCTGACATTTCCTGAGCTTTTTTTTCTGTCTCCAGTAGAAAGGGGGGCAGTGAGCCGTCTGAAGGATTAGACACTGCAGCCGCTTCAAAAGTTGGAAACGTGACAGCGCTATCAGGCCTTATTAAATCAACAAAAAGTCCACTTAGTAATCAGCTACTTGTCTTAGAGCTGCAGTTGAGAGGCCTCTTTCTTGTTTGCAACTAAGTAAGATTCACCCCCACGCTCCCCCAGTTCATTTTTCTTTTTAACATGCTCGGATTGCAGCCTCGATTGTTCCAAGGTGCCTGGTGAGCGAGGAGGATTCCGCCTCTCTCTTCCACGGCATTGAAAGAAATTCGGCTTCACAAAGAGCTCTGAACTGGAATTCCGGACAAAAGGAACGGCTAGGGTTACACTCCTCTTCCCTCTGCCTCGCTTAAATTTCAAGCTGCCTTGCCAAGTTCTCTGTGAGTGGCTCTGTTTGCAGCTTTGAGACCCACTCCTGCAAGAAACAAGGATAAACCTGTCTCATTAACCAGTGCTCAGAATGTTTGAGGCTGATTCTGAGAGGCTCTTTCTTAGCTCTTAGAAAGTAAAGCAGTGTGCTTGGCTTGCAAGGTGAAGTATGTGATCTGTGTGGAAAAAGGATGCTCTTTTCAGTTTGGTGACAGGATTTGGCAGATGTTTAGGCCAGTAGCCCCTAGATGTGATGAATTATTTATCTGGGCTTCTTCAGGCATGCACACACATGCAGTTTTTTGGGTTTGGAGAGGATGCTCATGAACAGTTTAAATATTAGTGGGTTGTGTTATCTCACTTTTCCATAATTTTGCTATCTAAATCGTTGGGGGCATGGTATAGGTAAAAGTGCCTATAAAAGTGCCTTTAATGCCTGACAAAAAAGTGCTTAAAATAACTACATTAAGTTTTCTCAGAGTTTTGCCTGAGTACATGTATGCTTACACAGAAGTAAAGTCCACTCCATGGGATGTGTGCTGCCCTGGTGGAACTTTGGCTGAATTGTTTCCTCCATTTAGTATTTGGAAGCTTGCTTGTTCCGTAGAGAGAATAGACCAATTGAAGTTTTACAAAACTGCTGCAAAATTGTGAGTTTTGAGAACTCTTCATGAAGGCAATTGCTTTGAATGGGGTGGGGGAAAAGAACCATGGCTGATCTCAGATCCACATCTGAAAATTACCATATTTATCTAAAAGGAACATGTTCCTAAATTTTGGGTGATGCCTTTCTAAAAAGGAAGATTGGAAAGAAAAACTTATTTGCCTCTGTTACAATTTTCTCAATGAATCTACAAAAACCACCCATTTGAAAAGTAAATTACTTGGGAGAACAGAAGTAGTGTTCCTTTTAGGTGAATACTATAGGTTTGTTTCTCCTTGGCAACAGTGATCCTATTGTTTTCCAGCATTGAAGGAGAAGTTAACGTTTAGTAGAGCTTCAGTTACAATAGGTAGCAAGAGGTACCTGTCTTCAAACCTGGAACATCAATCTGTGCTAACTCTGGCCTCTTCACTTGGAATTTGTAGCTCTTGTAATTGTATTAAGTAGTTGGGAATAAAGTCATCTTCCCCAGCAGAGGAAACAGGTCTTTCAACTTAGTCATTTATACTTGTGAAGCTTTTTTTTCCCTTTAGCTATTTATGCTGGAAAGTGAACCTGGGTAGAAGTGTGGCCTTTAAAGCAAGATACAAATTAGATAATAGGTTGGAATCCCAACATATTTGTGGCTAGACCTTCCAGTAGGTACAGACAACTTGTTTAAAAGTAGCTTAGCTACCCTTCAGGGCAAAAAGCAATTTTGGAGACTGCCTGTGTGGCTTTTGTTCTAAGTGGTGGTTTTTGCATAGGTTACTGAAAATAGCTATGCAAAGACTAAGTGAATAAGGACCTTGAATAGGTGTTGATACCTAATTTCTTCCTGTGCAGAGCTCCTGACAAGCAATGGGTGTGGTCCCCGTGCTTGAGCAGAAACAGTTAATGATAGAGCCAACACAACAGCAGTGTGTTAACTTACACCCATACAGATACTGAGTCCATATACCTGTAATCTATAAAGCTGTTTGCTTAAACCACAATTATATGGATTCATACAATATACTAAGTCATAACCATGGTTTAGACACTATAGTGGTTGGATTCATGGAATGCTGTAAGCCAAGATGAAATAACCTGCATTATGATGTAGTATGCTATGTGGACTCAATTTCTTTCTCTCACAAATGCTCATATATACTTTCCGACTGTGTCTCTTTCACATAAACACACACAGTATCTTCTTATTCCTGGAAGAATACAGTGCTTTTGTGTTGTGACTCTTCAGAATGCTGTTAAAATGTGTCCATTGTTGTATATAAGCATGGCTGTGAACTGGAGGTTTCTTACTGGCTGGTTTATATAGCATGCCATGCCAAACTGGTTTGCGTGTCTTTAACTCAGTGTGGTGTATGAACCCAGTCAACATAGTTTATAAACCAAGATGCATGGTTTAGTGTCTTGTGTGAAGCCAATGGTGGTTGGTTTGTTAAACCATGATTAGGCAAACTGTGGCTCAGTATGCCATGAACTTGGCCTCTATCTGGTACTACAAAACTTTGTGGAGGTTTCTAAAGTAGGAGTAAGGGAGGTGGATCGTTTGCATTCCTACCTTCTTGAATGCAGTGGAATTTTTTCCCCTCTTACCCTATTTTCCCAGCCCTTCTGTGTGTCTACTTGTGCTTCTTTTGATTTAAAAAATGCTGCCTTTGATTATGCCAATGCTTGGCTGTTATGCAAGGTATGAAAATAAATCTAATCCTGAATGAACCTAATTTGATTTGGAAATCCTCAGCTTTGACTCCTTTAGAACAATTCCACCATCCCCCAAGTTTGCCTTCATGGCTGACTTTGGTCTGGGGTTTGTTGACCAAGCAGGCTTTTCTACAACTGGGCTGCCTCGGAAAGCTTGGGTGAAGTGGGCTAGATTAAGTTCCGACATTGGTTTATTACATGTGCATAATGAGCAATGGGCAACTGAACTCTAGGAGAGATAGTAAAACCTAGGTTGCTCTTGGTTGCTTCCATTTGAACTAGAGGTGAGAGTGCCACTATACTAATTTTCCACACGTGGTTGTGCTGTGAGGGTTGGTCATTTCGAATGGCTCTGACACTGCCGATAGCAGCACTTCGCTGAGCAGCACATTCTGTGGCTTGTTACCAGTGCAGTTGTTTGGGTCCTTATCAAAAGTAACCCCCCCCCCCAGCTGCTTGCTCCAGCAAATGCTGCCATCCCACGACTTGAGAGGCTTTGACTGAGGCTCCTCAGCTCCTGCCAGGACCTGGCCCTGCCCTGTGCCAGTTTTGGGGTGAGGG